TTGTGTGGTGTGTGTGTGTGTGTGTGTGTGTGTGTGTGTGTGTGTGTGTGTGTGTGTGTGTAAATAATCAGTTTGGGCCCAAAGAAGAAACAACACAGTAATTTGAGCACAGAAAGTTTAATATAATTGTTAACTATAACAGAGGGTTGGAGTAATGAGGGATTGGCTAGTTAAAAGGAAACAGAACTCTAAAGTATATAGGAATAGTAGACATAAAGAGAAGTTACTTCCTGGGGCTGAGATCGAGTACCCAAAGAAGAGCCTCTTCTCCCCCATCTTTAGGGGTGAGGTGTAGACCTTGTTGGAGAGGGTACAACTATGGCTCACAGAATGATGGAGAAGTCACTATGGTGCCATGTTAGTGGAACTTGCTGGAAATTTGCCTTCTGTGGTGCTTGGGGAGTGGTGTTCATTGAGAGGTGCCTCTCTGGAGGAACTCTGCTATTAAACTACCCAAGGTTGGGGTGAGGGCGGTATGCTGCTGCTGCTGTCGTCCACTGGATACTACTGGCTGCCATGCTCTGCAGGAAACCAACATTAGAGAAGATGAGAGTGCTGCAGAAGCCTGTCAAGCAAAAACACTGGAACCAGAAGCAAATTTGTTTACTTCTGTAATATGTTTAGATGGGATCAAAGGGTATTGTTTAAGTGGATAAACCAAATAGTAGAATCCTAAGTAAGGAAAAGGGAAACTAAGGTCATTATGAAATGTATTAGTATAAAGGTAACCATTAAAACAAAAATCCAAAACTTCTTTTTTTTTTTTTTTTTTGACCAGTAAGGGGATCACAACACTCAGCATGGTGTGGTCTGCACCACGCTCAGCCAATGAGCATACCGGCCATCCCTATATAGGATCTGAACCCACGGCCTTGGCACTACCAGCGCCACACTCTCCCGAGTGAGTCACAGGTCTGGCCCAAAATCCAAAACTTCTAAATGCCAAAAGAACAAAGAGATCAAGAAATAGACCACATAGAGAAAGAGGTGAACTAAATATGGAAAACACAGGAAACAAAACATAATGTGACAGAGTTAAACCAAATGTGTAATTTATATTAGCAAACATTAAATAGGATTTAACGTACTTATCAAAAGAAAAAAATTTTCATACTAGTATTCAAAGTAAAACTTACTCTATGCTACATACAAGAGACATACATAGAGTAGGGTGAATCGGAAAGGATAAAAATAAAAGGATGATCACTGTTAAACCAAGGAAATACAGTGTAATAGCAGAAGTTACAATTCTGATATTAGACAAGGTAAAACTGAGGCCAAGATGTGTTAAAACAAGTCACATTAAAGGTGACACAATTCTCAGTGAAAATGTAATAATTATAAATATTTTAGTACCAATGACAAAGCATCTGTCTTCATAAGATAGAATTATGGAAGATACAAAGAGATATAGACATACTAATAGGAAGTTTAACTCTCCTTGAGATTGCTCTCAGGGAGTATTGCCTTGAGGTTGTTCTCAAGGCAAGACAGGCCAGCAGGACAAAAAATAAAAGCATTAAAGGTTTTAATGAATAAGGTAGATTGTGTGTGCTTGTAAATGATCT